TCTTCGAGTGCGTTCGTCACGAGTTTTCCTTCCCCGTCAGCATTAATTTAGGATTATGGATTATTGATACTATATCGCATCTTCGAGTGCGTTCGTCACGAGTTTTCCTTCCCCGTCAGCATTAATTTAGGATTATGGATTATTGATACTATATCGCATCTTCGAGTGCGTTCGTCACGAGTTTTCCTTCCCCGTCAGCATTAATTTAGGATTATGGATTATTGATACTATATCGCATCTTCGAGTGCGTTCGTCACGAGTTTTCCTTCCCCGTCAGCATTAATTTAGGTTTATAGATTATTGATACTATGCCGCATCTTCGAGTGCGTTCGTCACGAGTTTTCCTTCCCCGTCAGCATTAATTTAGGTTTATAGATTATTGATACTGTGTTGCATCTTCGAGTGCGTTCGTCACGAGTTTTCCTTCCCCGTCAGCATTAGGTGCATGGTATGGCGTGCACGCGAGCGCACACATATCTGCATGTATCCCATAATGCTTACATGCTCAAATATAGCGAGCGCACTCATACTTCTAGACTACTTCCGTCAGCAAAATCCGATAAGGCAGTTTTTTTTCAAAAAGCAATAAGCGTAATAACGATAAGTCACGTGTAGCGACTTGGTGTTTCATAGGTTACTAGTTGGAGCAAACGAAAATGTCATAATGTGTTTGTAGTCTCGGTTTATCTGATGGTTCTATAGGTCGGTGAGGTATCAATCAATACATAATATCAGAAATGTATAATTTAGACAGGACACTCCTGATAATATTAATATCAAGGTCAATATCGATATATGGGTACAAGGGCATCAACTTGACTGTGAACTCACGTTTAACTCGCATCAGTTTATGCTATTCGTTGCCAATAGATGGCGCTGGGAGATTGCTGGATAATCATTTTAACTATAATTATATCTCATTCGTTGGTGGATACCTTAGAGGAAAACGCTACAACTATAACTATATGTATAACTATAAATAACAATGTACAACTACAACTAAAACTACAGCTAAAACTACAACTACAATTAAAACTACAACTACAACTACAACTACAACTACAACTACAACTACAACTACAACTACAACTACAACTACAACTACAACTACAACTACAACTACAACTACAACTGCAACTACAACTACAACCAAAACAATTCACTGTTGTTTGAAAAATAAAAATCACCTTTACGATCGAAGAGCCTTGAGTTTGTGGACGTGATTGTTACACGCATCTCCGTTTGCAGATCGGGAGGTTGGAATACCGATACAAGCTGGTCAGCAAAATCACGGGCTCTGTCCAGCTGGGCGTGACCATATTCGGCTTGTCCATCTTCTTCCTTGGCCTGTTTCGGAACTGGAGGTAGGATATATAGGCCTTGGCCAGGTTCGTGTGCGTGCGCGCGCGCGTGTGTGTGTGTGTGTGTGTGTGTGTGCCCTGTGCGTGTTTGTGTGTGTGTATTGTGTTGTCTGTGTGGTGCACGCGACGCAGAATGCGTGGGTTGTGTAGCGTGTGTGTATGTGTCGTTGCCACGCGCGCGCAGTGTTCGGCCGGTGTGGCCTGTGTGCCGTAGTGTGATGTGTGTCTGTGGTGCACGCGCGCGCTGAGTGTGTGTGTGCGTCCCTTCGTGGTGTATGTGGTGTCTGTTGTGTTGTGCGGCTCGCGCGCGTGCGTGTCGTGCGCTGCGTGTGTGATATGTGCTGTCTGTGTGTTCGTTGGCGCGCGCGCGTGTCGTGTGTGCCCTGATGTGCGTGTGTGTATGGTGTCTGTGTGTGTGCGCCTGCGCGCGTCGCGTGTGTGCGTTTGCGGTGTGTGTATGTGTGTTCTGGTTTTTTTTTTTTTCTTGTTTCTGTGTGCGATGTCGTCTTCGCGCGTGTTGGCGCGCATTGCATTCGTGCGTGCGTGGATCTGTGTTTTCGGTGCAGCTCGTGCTGCTGCGTCGGTAGCGTGCGTCGCTCGCGGTGCGAGTGGTGCGTTCGTGCGTCGCGCGCCGCGCGTGTGGTGTGTGTTTGCTGTGCGCATCCTCATGAACGCAGTTCGTACGCCGCAGGTTTTCACGAAGTGACACGAACGCACCCTACCAGCTACGTGATCTGGTTGAACCACACCGTACGCGCGAGTATGTTGCTGGACGTCTCATGGCTGTGGGAGATGCTGCTGGTTAGCAAGCAGCTTTCTACCGCTTGGCAATTCATTGGGAACGTATCATGCGGTGAGTCCCTCTGGCCACCGCACCTCCGCAAGATGGCGCCACGACCGTGTCATATAGCCGTAAAATATACACGCTGGGCAACTGAACGGCAGCATAAATATTTCTTTGTTTTATTATTCAAACTAATACAATGCTGCAGTTAAAACTATGCGGACATAAATAAAGCATTCGGCTAGATATTATCAGGACTAGATAATAGGGATAATTCTCTAACTATATATCTTACATTGAACCACAATATTATATTATATATATAATTATTAGTACATGGCCTTTTAAACGAATTTAACGATGTAATATTCAACTGAAAGAATAATTTGTATTAACAATAGTTAAATCCTTAGATTTTGGGATACAAGGATCCATTCTTTTCCCTCTAGCCTGCACGCAGACCACACGACAGAACTTAGAGCTAAACAAGAGCTAAAAATACCTCTATCCTAATCTCATCAATATAGCTAATAATAATATTTGCTCTTGCGTAATATCAGGCGTGCGAATAATAACAAACTTGTGGTGTAAATTTTTTAAAACGTTTGTCATTGTTAATTCACCTGCGCTAATAATTAATAACGCTAGCGATCGTACTAGCAGGTACTATACAGGTGAAACGTATCGTGGAGTAGAACTTCATGGGGATAACTTCCTCCCGACGTGAACGCCGCGCCGATGTTGCAGGCGATTACTTCGCATCCTGTTGGGCATGACGAAGACTGGAAGGATATCCCGTTCACGATCGTCGACAATCCGATGTACTGGGATCCGACGCTGAACTTCCTGTCCATTGCCGTCATGTAGTGACGTGCCAGATTCCGTAAGCGTGGATGCATGGGGCTGAAGATGACAGAACGCATGCGCGAACAGCACGCCAACACACACGCACATCACACACGCGCGCGCACACAGCACACACACACACACACACCACACACACACACACAACACGCCTATAAACAACACAACACACATCACACACACACACACACACACAACACACACACACACACACAACACACACACAGCACTACACACACACACAACAAACCCTGTACACCACACTCACACGCGACGACTACACCACACACACACACACACACACACACACACACACACACACACACACACACACACACACACACACACCACACCACAAGAAATAAACGAAATAAAGAGATTGAAGAAATGGAGAAATAATAACAAAGACATGATTATACTGTATAATAGAAAAGTACACCAACAACGTGATACGTTGATTTTGTTGTTATTATTAAGTAATTGTTATATTATTGTTGTTATTGGTATTGTTATTTGTGTTATTGTTATTGTTATTGATTATGTTGTTATTGTTATATCGTACAGGCGGCAGAGCATGTCCGGACTTCTACTTACCTGCCTTGTCATCATCACATACAAGATGGCGAGCACGATCGAAGAGTATGTATAAAAAGCACCCGGCAGTTAGATGCGATATGATATGACTACTAGGCACTTAAAAAAAAAACCTAACCCTAACTCTAACCCTAACCCTAAAAAAAAAAAAAAAAAAAAAATTAAAGTGTCTAGTAGTCATATCATATCGCATCTTTCTGCCAACAGCGTATAAAAATGTCGGTTATCACGAGCTAGGTGGGATTGAAAGGGTTAGAGCTAACATGTCCGTACCCAAGAAGGGAGGCGATATTGGGTGGAGAGGATAAGAGTTAACGCGTATGTGCTCACGCGGGAGGTAACGGTAGCTGGGAAGGGGTAAGCATTAACTTCAATGAATACACGGGGGTATAGCAGTGGTAGGTATGGGGGATAATATGCAGTCATTTGCTCGGTGGACGCGTACTTGCTGTGGGTTCTGTGTAGTCCCCACGAAGATGCTAACATTGGTAGCTTTCTCCGCGCCCCGTGTAGCAAGAGCGTATATTGATTTATTCTGTAGTATAGCGATGACGCAATAATGCAGTATCAGTTATTGTGACGTCAATAGTGACGGTACCGACGGAAATGTTGTGACGTCATCGATGTATGTGTGCGTTGTTTGTTAACAGGCCTTTCACGGATCATATCTACAAAGAAAAGGCCGATAAAGAGAAGGTACTGTGAGACAGGGAGAAGGAACTCCAAGGCAGGGAGAAGGCGCTGTGAAACAGAGAGGTGCTGTGAGACAGAGAAGAACAACGCGTGGCGACAGAGCGAAGACGCAGACGGATCAGCGTGACGCAAAGAAGTTACTGTTGCTGCTGCCAAGGGCATCGCTAGACAACATCAAGCCGCTTGCAACGCCATCTATCTGTCTGAATTTTTGTTTGCGCGTCTATCTCTCTATCCACCTTCGTAATATATACATCAAGAATGAGTTGGCCAGTCACTAGATGGCGCTCCTTATGATTGGTATGATTTGACGTATGCATTGTGGGGTCATCATTTGGTTTACGGAGGTTATCATTGGGTTTACATCTCAAATTATGTCAAACGCACACAGTATGTGATCACGAAGCTCTTAGAAACAAATTGTGTCATTTGGACATCACGCATTGTTTATAAGTGTGCTGAAGAATCAAGATTCATTGTTATGTATTTCCATATTGGTTGGTACATGCAATGTATATATATATATAAAGGTTATGATTATAAGTTTAATGATACTGAAGGTAGGATTATTAAAATAAACCGGTCGTTGGCAGATTTAACATGAAATAATGATGTATTTGACGGATTTGTTTCACGTGAACGTGTTTTTCCTGCTCCGACGTTTGCCAGAGAGAAAGAGATGGTTGGGGTAGATGCAGGAAGAGAAGGAGGGAGAAAAGAGTTTGAAAGAAAGGAAGGGAGAGGGATAAATATATAGCGAACGCTAGCGCAAGAAGGATGGAAACAGAGAGGTATAGAGGCATAGAGAGAGAGAGAGAGAGAGAGAGAGAGAGAGAGAGAGAGAGAGAGAGAGAGAGAGAGATAGAGAGAGAAGAGAGCGAGCTGCATACATAAATATACATATATGTACAGGAGTGTATAGATACATCTATTTATCTATCTATCTATCTATCTATCTATCTATCTATCTATCTATCTATCTATCTATCTATTATCTATGCTATATCTATCTATTACTATCTACCTATCTAGTCTACTCTATCTATCTATTATCTAATTGTATCCTACTATCTATCTATCTATCTATGTAATGTATGTATGTATGTATGTATGTATGTGATGTAATCTATCTATCTATCTATCTATCTATCTATCTATGCTATCTATACTATGTATCTATCTATCTATCTATCTATCTATCTATCTATCTATCTATCTATCTATCTATCTATCTTTGTATGTATCTATCTATCTATGTATCTATTTATCTATCTATCTATCTATCTATCTATCTATCTATCTATGTATCATCTATATTATGACGCTTCAGATCCGTGCGAAGCGGAGACAATACGGAATCGAACACAGCATCATCTGTGATAACTCATTTATCACAGGTAAACGTAGCCAGATAGTGTACTGGCTGATACACGCAGCGGGGGGGACCTTACATGCAATGTCTTCCTCCTATTTCTTAAATGAAGTCTACTGATGGAATGTTATCATATAAACCTATGCTAGGATAACTCCTCTTTATTTTAAATGCATAATCTTTGCAAAATACGATTTCTCTCGGGAGATATTGCGCATGCGCGCGCATCGTGTTAGGCGTGCAGTGCCGTCTGAGGCAAACTTAATAATATAGCTTGCTGAGGGGGAGAGGGGATGGGAGACTGAGGAAATGCGGTAGGAAAGATAGCTGGGGCGGTAGAAGAAGAAGGAGGCTGAGCGAGTGATAGGGGAGGCAAGGGGAAGGACGCGATCAAGGGCATAAAGTAGGTGTTTTGTACCCTACATGATAGGGCGCTCTCCTAATTATAAACACATGTCAACTGATAAAAGTTTATTAGGAAAATCTATGTTGAGATACCCCCTAACCATTTTAAATGCATATTCATCACAAAATATAACTTCTCTAGTGATATATTGCGCATGCGCTAACACACTAACGTAGCCAGATTGTGTACTGGCTGATATACGCAGCGGGGACCTTACATGCAATGTCTTCCTCCTATTTCTTAAATGATGTCTACTGATGGAATGTTATCATAAAAACCTATGCTAGGATAACTCCTCTTCATTTTAAATGCATAATCTTTGCAAAATACGATTTCTCTCGGGAGATATTGCGCATGCGCGCGCACCGTGTTAGGCGTGCAGTGCCATCTGAGGCAAACTTTATAATATAGCTTGCTGAGGGGGAGAGGGGATGGGAGATTAAGGAAATGCGGCAGGGGAGATAGCTGGAACGATAGAAAAAGAAGGAGGCTGAGCGAGGGACAGGGGAGGCAAGGGGAAGGACGCGATCGAGGACATGAAGTAGATGTTTTGTACCCTACATGCTAGGGCGCTGTCCTAATTATAAACACATGTCAACTGATAAAAGTTTATTAGGGAAATCTATGTTGAGATACCCCCTAACCATTTTAAATGCATATTCAGCACAAAATATAACTCCTCTGGTAATATATTGCACATGCGCTAACAGGTTAACGTAGCCATATTGTGTACTGGCTGGTATACGCAGCGGGGAACTTACATGCAATGTCTTCCTACTTTTTCTTAAATGATGTCTACTGATGGAATGTTATTATATAAACCTATGCTAGGATAACTCCTCTTCATTTTAAATGCATAATCTTTGCAAAATACGATTTCTCTCGGCAGATATTGCGCATGCGCGCGCACCGTGTTATGCGTGCAGTGCCGTTTGAGGCAAACTTCATAATATAGCTTGCTGAGGGGGAGAGGGGATGGGAGACTGGGGAAATTGCGGTAGGGAAGATAGCTGGGACGGTAGAAGAGGAAAGAGGCTGAGCGAGTGATAGGGGAGGCAAGGGGAAGGACGCGATCGAAGGCATAAAGTAGGTGTTTTGTACCCTACATGATAGGGCGCTCTCCTAATTATAAACACATGTCAACTAATAAAAGTTTATTAGGAAAATCTATGTTGAGATACCTCCTAACCATTTTAAATGCATATTCAGCACAAAATATAACTCTTCTAGTGATATATTTCGCATGCGCTAACACGCTAACGTAGCCATATTGTGTACTGACTGGTATATACGCAGAGGGGACCTTACATGCAATGTCTTCCTCCTATGTCTTAAATGATGGCTACTGATAAAATGTTATCATATAAACCTATGCTAGGATAAATCCTCTTAATGTTAAACGCATAATATTCGCAAAATACGATTTTTCTCGGGAGATATTGCGCATGCGCGCGCACCGTGTTAGGCGTGCAGTGCCGTCTAAGGCAAACTTAATAATATAGCTTGCTGAGGGGGAGAGGGGATAGGAGACTGAGAAAATGCGGTAGGGAAGATAGCTGGGGCAGTAGAAGAAGAAGGAGGCTGAGCGAGCGATAGGGGTGGCAAGAGGAAGGACGCGATCGAAGGCATAAAGTAGGTGTTTTGCACCCTACATGCTAGGGCGCTCTCCTAATTATAAACACATGTCAATTGATAAAAGTTTATTAAGGAAATCTATGCTGAGATACTCCATAACCATTTTAAATACATATTCATCACAAAATATAACTTCTCTGGTGATATATTGCGCATGCGCTAACACATCCCCTTTTAAACAAGGCGCGTGACTCTAGCGCCAAAACTCGTTACAGAACCAAAACAACGCGTCGCGGCGCAAAAATAGCCTCATAGACCCTATTCATATCAGCGCGTGCATTCGGCGCGGGCAGCGCAATAGTTCAACACGCACACACACACACGCACACACAAACACACAAACACACAAACACACACACACACACACATCACACACACACACAACACACACACATGCACACACAACACACACACACACACACACACACACACACAACACACACACACAGCACACACACACCACACACACACACAGCACACACACACACACACACACACACACACACACACACACACACACACACACACACACACACAACACACACACACACACACACACACACACACACACACACACACACACACACACACACACACACACGCATACAGGTTCGGCTAGCGGTAAACGGCCGCCGTACAGCTAACCGTCTGCGCCCGTTGAGTGTGAGAGAAAATATCACAATGAGTCTATTTGCATCGCGTTCAGACGCGCGCGTGCAAAGTGGTCTCGTGATGCGAGCTCCTGGCGAAGCCAACGATGATGTGGAGGCTGAGAGATGCTGCGAGGCAGCTTCAGCAACGAACGCTGCACAGAACAGACAAAACATGCTCGTGCTCACACGGTCAGCTGCTGCTCTCAGCCGTATAGACTCGTGCGTGGTTCGGGGATAGGTCGCGTAAAGTTTACGCTATAGCGTGCGGGAAACGGGAAGAAGAAACGGAGAAACAGGGAAGCGGGGGAGGGGGGGGGTAACATAGACGGAGACGTAGGTCGTGTTAACATTAGACCGAGAGGAAGGAGAGCCACAATGGTGATGACGAAGACTTAGGGGTGCGGGTTAATGGCCGGTGAATAGTCTAGAAAATAGGCATGGTAAAATGGGAAGGAAATGACAAGAAAAGTGAACGGGTAACCGGGACGTGGTGCGGGATCCGCGGGGTAATACACCAAAAGAAAAATAAATTAGACAAAGCAATAACCTGGGAGCGAGAGTGCTGAACCCACACTGAAGAAAAAGAAGAATGTAAATAAAACCACGGGAGGCGCGCATAAAAGGTCACGCAGAGTTGACACTCAAGAGCTGCACTCGAGTCTCGAGAAGAGAGACCCGTACGTGAATAGGTTATGCGAACGCAACCTTGGCATTTCTCCCGCAAGATGCGGTTTTAAGTTTGTGAGATTTAAGCAGATCACGAGATAGATAGCAGACGACTCGTTACACAACACAGAAGCACGGGGAGAAACGATGGGAATGAAATGGAGGAGGAGGAGGAGGAGGAGGAAGAGGAGGAAGAAGATGCGAAGGATGAGGATGAGGAGGAGGAGGAGGAGGAGGGAGAGGGGGAAGAGCAGGAGGAGGATGAGAATGAGGATGAGGAGGAGGATGAGGAGGAGGAAGATGCAAAGAAGAAGAAGCAGGAAGAGGAGGATGAAGAGAAGGAGAAGGAGGGGTATGAGAAGGAGGAAGAGGAGGAGAAGGAGGGGGATGAGGAGGAGGAGGAAGAGGATGAGAAGAAGCAGGGGATGAGGAGGAGGAAAAAGAGAAGCAGGAGATGAGGAGGCGGAGGAAGCAGCTGCGCACGCTGTTGCTGTTGCTGTTGCTAGGCAATGTCAGCATCCGTATCGGCACGTGCGTCGATCACATGACACATCTGCGTGATGCTGCTGCTGCGGCGCGCTCTCACCTTGTGACGCAGTACTGCCAAACGACTTGTTGCTCGCCAGCTGTCACGTGGGGCGGCCGGGGCGATGCCACTGCCCGGGCAGCGGGGGTGGGGAAGGTAAACAAACAAACGGCAATTCCACGAGGTCTTACTCATCGATTTCACAGAAGGTCTGCCGACGTAGACGTGAGATGATGAAGCCGAACCCTCCCACAGCGCCCGCCCCCGCGGGGGGGGGGGTCGTGCGGGCGGGTGGCTTTGTTTACGATTGGACGGACGCTATCACCCCTACCGGCGGAGAAATAGTTCGGTCCACCGCCGAGTATATATGCGTTGACAACACACGCAGACGACAAAAGAGATTTCGAAGTCGAATTATACACGCGTGTGGAACTACTCGCATCGCGAAGAGTGTCACGGGAGGAAACTACGCTTCGTTAACGCGCATAGAGAGAATAACCATCATATATAGAGAGTTCACATACTAGCGGAAGACGAACCATTGACAGTGACAACAGCGAAGAAGAGATTCACTTCGCAATCGGTGAGTTTATTTCTTCAGCATCCGCGGTAGCCGATGGATGTTTATACAGCTTTAAGATGCTAACGGGGCAGCTGCAGTAGAAGCGTTGTTTTGCGGGCAATATATAGGCAATGCTTGCAGAGCAAGCTGGTACGCTTAGAGTCGCTATCCTCCATTTGCGCATGGTAATATCAGTTTGTCTCCTGTATGCATCGTTTATGTAATCTTCGATCGCACAGGAATGAACAAACATTAAGTAATTAAAGTTAAGAAAGTTCATTAGTAAAATACTAATTAAGTATAAGAGTCGGTTGGTAGATTATCGTCGATCCTGTCATTAACGTCTGTGCTAATTAAAAACGATTGTTAAGCTGTTATTATACCTCTCCCTCCCCCCCTCTCTCTCCCCCTCTCTCTCCCCTCTCTTTTTCTCTCTCACTCACTCTCTCGCCCTCTCTTTCTTCCTTCCCCACCCCTCTTTTTTTCGGTCGCTATCTTTTTCTTTCTAATCCCCCCCCTCTCTCTCTCTCTCTGTTCTCTCCCCCCTCTCTCTCGCGCTCTCGCTCTCTCTCTCTCTCTCTCTCTCTGTTCTCTCCCCCCTCTCTCTCTGTCTCTGTCTCTCTCTCTTCTCTCTCTCTCTCTTCCTCTCTCACTCTCACTCACGCTCACGAACTCTACACTCTCCCTGCTCCCTTTGCAGCCCTTAGCAGCAGCACCGCCACCGCCACCAGCATCATGGGCGGAGACGAACACGGCAGCGGCGACTTCCTCGTGCCGCCAGACCTGCAGCGAGCTCTCGCAAACAGCATCATGCGCCACGACTCCGTCGACGACCTGCGCATTCTGCTCGCATCCGGCTCCAAAGCCGACCAGCCGGTCGCCAACGGGCTGCGTCCGCTGCACTACGCCGTCTACGAGCAGTACGCCGACGCAGTTAGGCTGCTGCTCGTGCGCGGCGGCGACGTCAACACGACGGACAGCGGCGGCTACACGGCGATGCATCTGTGCGCCGAGCGAGGCTACGTCGCCATGATGCGCATCCTCGTCGAGTTCGGCGGTCGCGTGTCGAGCGCCGAGCATCAGCGCCCCCTAGCGGTGGAGGCGCACGCCGACGCCGACGCGTCGTTTCCGGCCAACGACATGGAGGAGCCGCTGCGGTTGGCGATCAAGGGAGGGCACTACGAGTGCGCCGAGTTTCTGCTGGAGCACGGAGCCGATCCGAACGCCCGCTACTTCCTCGGGAGTGAGATCAACATGGTACACCCCGAGGACACGGTCTTCCTCGAGCTGCTGCTGAAAGCTGGCGCGCGCCCCGACGCGTACGACCGCAGCGGTTTAACCCCGCTCATGAAAGCCGCCAAATATCGCAAGTGCCTCGCCGCCGTTCGTCTGCTGATCGCGCACGGAGCCGACGTGAACGCGCGCGCCACCGTGCGGCAGGACTTCCGCACGGTACTGCACTACGCCGTCATGGGAGTCAACCTGGACGCCGTGGCAACGCTCGTCGAAAAGGGAGCGCGCGTCAAAATGGACGTCGACTACGACGGCCCGAGTCCGCTAGATGTCGCCATCCTCACGGACGACGTCGACGTCGTCGCGGCGCTCATCGACGCTGGCGCCGACATCAACTCGTTCACGTCGTCGATCGGCACGCCGCTGCACGTCGCGCTGTCCGGCGAACTGCGCCACCAGGGGGCAATCGTCGAACTGCTGCTGCGACGCGGCGCCGACGTCAACATGACGCATCGCTATAACAACGGCGCTGCGCTGAAGAGCCCCCTGGTGGAGTACCTGAACAGCCAGAAGACGTACTCGCGGCAGGTCGTGTCTCTGCTGCTCCGCTACGGCGCGCGTGTCATCTTCACGCAACCAGCTCTCGACCCGCGAGGTCTGCTGCGCTCCCTAGGCTCCATAGTCGCAGACGACGGCGAAGCAGACGACGAGGAGTTACTAGAGCTGCTCGCCTACTCCTCCGAATGCTTCGACATCGCCTACGTGCAGCGCTCCATGCTGCTACCTGAGGAGGTGCGCGTGCCCCTGCTGCGCATGTGCACGCGGCCGACACCGCTGCGCCACCTGGCGCGTCTCGCCCTGCGCGAGATGTCGCCCGACGGAGAGGAGTACGTGCAGAAGGTGCGGGCGCTGCCGTTCCCGCGCCTCTGGATCAGGTATCTGCTGTTCGAGTTCTGCTAGTCGCCACTAGATGTCGCCACGTGCGACCGGTCCTGCTCAGGTGTTTCTCGTTTTTTTTTCGCTACGTCGACTAGGAGTACGTTGCGTGTGTTTTGTGCGGGAGCCCTTCATCAGAAAGATCGTGGATACGTATTTACTATCACATGTTTGAAATGTGATTACATATGCGAAGTACTTGACTTCAAAGGTCAGGGCAGTTTATGTTTCTGAAGAAGGGCCCCCTGGTGACTAAAGTCACAAGTATACAACGCACATAATTTGTAAATATATTGTACGTCATCGAACGACTATACGTCTGGTTTTATACTTTAATGTGTATATACATGTCCGCGTTATTATGCTATATACTAATTCACGTGGGATTGCGTAACTCACTACTCGGTTTGTTTGATACGGTGTAGGTGTTTAATTTACTGACCTCAGTATATTCTTGATATATATATATATATATATATATATATATATATATCAAGAATACTGGTTTGAATATACGACAGCGACATAACTGCCATCTCTACTATAGACTTGCCGAGATTCACGTGATGTGATATTTAGCCTTCAGGGTAAATCATTAATTAACACTGATTGATGCAGTGAGTCGCGCAATATCACCGATTCGTGGATCTTCAGTGATGCATTATGTATTATATTTTGAGACTCGAGGACGTGGGCTGGTCTGATCGGACCATGTAGTAATTAATAGATAAATCGAGCTTGTATTTCGATAGCGAATTGAAGATGTACATAATTCAGCGAAAGTGATAGAGCGAGAGAGAGAGAGAGAGAGAGAGAGAGAGAGAGAGAGAGAAGGGAAGAGAGAGCCTATAACTAAACTAACTAGAGAGAGAGAGAGAGAGAGAGAAAGAGCCACTTGCGTTGTGCTGGCGAGAAAAGAAAAAGAGTACAGATGGCAGCGGAGGAAACGGTTAGATGATGAAGCCATTATATGGACAGGTTCATATAGGCAGGAAAGAAGCCAGTAGAGATAGAAACACATGGCGAGGAAAGCACCTAAAGAGAGAGAAAGTCATAGAGAATGGTTTTAGAGAAAGAAGCTGCAAAGGGAAGCAACCCTCAGAGAAAGCAGCAGTTAGAGAGAGAGAGAGAGAGAGAGAGAGAGAGAGAGAGAGAGAGAGAGAGGAAGCACCATGCGTGTGTGTACGTTTTTCGTTCGTGAGTGCGTGTGTTCGTAGAATATCACTCACTTCGCTGTAATGTGTTCTATTCTCGAAGGCTGACTACACACACGCGCTCTCCTCGCAGGAGAAAGAAAGAAGAGAGAGACCAGCTGAGCGTTAGTCACATGATTCTCAGCATCAGCTGCTTCCTTCTCTCCATCTTTCTCTCGCTCCTCCCACAGCAGAACCCCGCTCCCCGCGCCACGTAAACACGAGGCTCTGATTGCCGCATTTCGCCCGCGCGTCCGCGGAACGGGGATCGAGGAAGCTGGGCCACCGCTTAGCAAGCGGCCTGTCGTAGTTGGCGCGTTGCCAGGAATGCGGGCCATTGCTCAGTGACGCACGCGGACGGTTGCCAAAATGTTTGGCGTCGTGGCGAGCGTTCACCCCAAGCGAGGGAACAAAGCCAGAGCTGCCTTCCCTACTCCTCACGTGCTTCTCCTCCCGTACTCCTCCCCCTCTCCCCCTCCCCCGCGCTCGCCGCGTACAACCGCCTCCTTCCTTGAAATGGCTTCCCGCCAAACAGAGTAATCATGCGATTTACAACGAATGCAGCTGCAGACGAATGTCGATTCGAGCCGGATTTGATAGCCTGTTGCTGCCTTCTGCAGTCGTGTGCAGAAAGGAGGTATAGCGTTATCAACTCCTGTTTGGATTACTGTTGCATCCGAGTTGCATCAACATTGATGTAAACTGCACCATTACAGAGTATTGACGTGATATGAGAGAAAGAGGTGGTGCGACAACTTGGTCACCGCTAGCTTTATCGGTAGTGATAGTTTGGGTTATATTTGTAGCTTTTATTGGGCACAGTGGCTTCACGAACGCACAATTTGTACCTATATCGCAGGAGCTGACATAGGCTTGATCTGTAGCTCATATATAACGCAGTAGGAGATAGCGGTAGTATACGATAAAGGGAAATAGCAGCTTAAACAATGCAGACGATGATGGTAACTCGTAGAGGACAATTATAGTAAATTGGTCAATTATAGTAGAGAGCAATTGACTTAGGATTAGCTTACAGAAGGCATCTGTATAGCTTAGATTGGCCCATCTCTGATATAGCAGAGAGAGAGAGAGAGAGAGAGAGAGAGAGAGAGAAACTAGGGGCGGAAAGCGGCTCCAGTTTAACGTAAAATGTTACACGAGGTGCAGGTCTTGCTGCCTGCCTGCCACCTGTGCTCATACGCCTGAGCATAAGCAAAATAGCTAATCGTTCGCGCAATAGCTATTAATATTTGAGCTTCGCAACAACACGCGTTTGTTCGCTCTAGGTCCGTTTAGTCTAGTAGACGCAGTAATTCTATATAGATCTAGCAGATGCCAACTCGTATATATATCTGATAGCATATTGCTACAGGGTTTCGGCATGCTGCTGCTGCTGCTGCAGCTACCGTCTGCCCAGGGCTTTAACCTTTGGTGGGCGTTATTAAACAAGGGAGAGCGCTGAGCGGGCCGGCGGGTCGTCCTTGCCGTGACCCCGTGCGCAGTATCCCCGACCCGCTTAGCTCGCTAATGATGTGAAGCACCTCCGACTAGTGAGGTATAGAGAGAGGAGGGAAGAGAGAGAGAGGGAGAGAGAGGGAGAGAGAGAGAGACGTAAGAGAGGAGAGGAGAGAGGGCATGAAGGAAGGGAGGGAGGGAGAGAGAGAGAGAGAGAGAAAGAGAAAGAGAGAGAGAGAGAGAGAGAGAGAGGGAGGGAGAGAGAGAGCCGTAAGAGAGGAGTGAGGGCAGGAAGGAAGGGAGCGAGAAAGATATAGAGTAAGAGTGAGAAGGGGAGAGAGAAAGACGAATAGACATTAGTAGCACATGGATTATAGAGAAATCGCACCGGAATGGTTGCGAGAGAGAAAGAGAAGTAGAAGAAACGGGGGAAATGGCGAGGGAGTCAGAGAGCGGGAGGGGTATAGGAAGAGGGCCAGACACATCGTTATAGGGTCCCTGACCCTCCTTCCCAGTCCGAGTGCCTTCACATCTGTTGGCGGTTATATAAGCAACGGTGTCGCTGTTCGATGTGAATTCTACTACCAGCTGTATCGCTGTTAGTTACTGCCCCTGGCAGGTGGTTATTGAGAAGCAAGCCTACTACACAACTCCTATACTGACCCCTCCCTGACATCCATCGCACCCACCCCCCGCCATCCCTCTCCGATTCACCTAAATGTAAATATTTTTTATGTAGGAATTATTTTTATTACTACTATTATTATTATTATTATTTATAACAGTATTATTATATTATGGTGTTATTCGTGTTATCCTTTTATACATGCTGTAATACTTTGTACGACGCGAATCGTTCCTTCAAATTTGCCACCGATATGGTTCTGCCATTCGGTTGAGGCTGGGAGATTTTCTCTTCTAGGAGAGAAATGCGGCCACCTCGTGTGCGTTTTTGGCTATATATATAATGGTTGTGATCGCTTATTTCTACGCATGTTTGCACTCTGTGCGGACAACGTAATATTACGTGCTTGTGATCGGACCGCTTGTGACAGCTCGCTGTTCAAGACACCTGTACACTGTACAGCATTGCAGATTTCCAAAAAAGAAATTAAACTTGTACATCTCATATGGGAAACTATGCCGAAATAGCTACTGAATATTTAACTTGATTATTACATGGTTCGTTCGACTTACATTATTGAACTTACAAAAATCTCAGACACACACACACAGAACAAACATACACAGAACAAAACGAAAACAAAACAGCGCCCCCTATTTTCAGGCAAATCTTTACCTTTTTAGTTTTTTTTTGTCTTTTTTAAGACCGAACAAACGGTTTTCAACCGAGTATAGTTTAGAGCCCGTCCCGTGTACTCATCGATCTCTTCTGTGAATTTGGCGCTATTTGGATCCAAACTGACGGAGCCTTTCATTAACATACATACATACATACAACATTCGCCAAATTATAGTAAGATGCGTAAACTGTCGACAGAGTACAACACATCCGTTCATGAGCAGCCTAACACCACAGAGAACAACACAGATTCATGAAAAGCTTTAAAATAAATTATCACATTGGTACACAGGCAGCATGAAGAGAAAAACAGATCGGCGGAGTATTGGCATTTGGAATCCACCCACCCGCCGCCACGTCTACTGTAGTTTATGGATTTGCTTATGATAGCTTACGGGACTAGTGTTTGCTGATGGGCGGTTTGCGGCTCCGGCAATAACCGCTGTGGCATTCCCACAACCTAGCTATCAGACTTGTGCGTGCAGCGCATAAACCCCAGTTCTCACTCAAACACCTCCCTCCCTCCCTCTCCATGCATACGTGGCCCTCGGGGGCACGTAAACCCCAGTTCTTTCAAACACCTCCCTCCCTCCCCCTCCATGCATACGTGGCCCTCGGGGCACGTAAACCCCTGTTCTTACTCAAACACCTCCCTCCCTCTCCATGCATGCATGGCCTACAGGGCACGTAAACCCCTGTTCTCACTCAAACACCTCCCTCCCAGACACCACCATTCCAACGTGCGTGCTGTCCCTCACCAAGACAGTGGGACAGCATGTGTTCCATCACTCACCCAGACAGCAGGACAGGACTCCATCACTCACCCAGACAGCGGGACAGCACCGGCAGTGCAGAGCTGAGCACTAGCAGCACGATGCAGTTGCCGATGATCTGAGTCATCGTCGTGTCGTTGACGCGCGGACGCAGACGCGAGAACAGCGGCAGACTGTACAACCCGACCAGGGACGCCAGCATGAAGTATCTATTGTCACAGAGGTCAAGGTCAAAGTCAAGGTCAAGGTCAGTAGTTATAATTGGTTGTGCCTGGGGAACTGTTCCAGGCACCAGGAGATTGATGAATGCTGTTTTAGACCACGAAGGCTATTTTTACAATGACCAAGCCATCATCATCCTAACTGTGACCCTATTGTGCTGACTTTCACCGATCCGTCTGCTGCACGTGCTACTGTCAACACTGTACTGCTACTCTCCCTGTCACTGATATTGTCATCGTCACTGTCAGCAACACTGTTACCCTCCCTGCCACCCCCCCTGTCACTGACACTGTTATTGTCATTGTCGGCAACACTGCCACCCTCCCTGTCACTGATACTGTCATCGTCGGTGCCATCAATGCTGTTACCCTCCTTGCCACCCTCCCTGTCACTGACATTGTCATCGTCACTGTCACCAACACTATTACCCTCCCTGCCACCCTCTCTGTCACTGGCACTGTCAGGTGTCATATGTCACTGTCACCGATGCTGTCACCGTCACTGTCACCGTTATTGCAAGGATACATTATGAGGATGATCTCCACGGCCGCTCCCACTGGTCCAAACGCAGACAGCGACGCGTCACCAATGTTGATTTGCTGCCGAGAAACAAAAACACAAAGGCTCACTCACACAAACGCCAAACCACCCCTACCCCGATATTCTCACGATAGAACGCAATGACAGCAACGCAAAACCGAAAACTTGCATTCTATTGTGTCATTGTGTGTTCTCTTGTCATTCAATTTCTCAGTGTGCTGCGCGGCAACGCTAGCGCCACCTACCTGCACGGCGGGCAGAGCTTTATCGTCCATCAGCAGCTTCAGGGAATGTAGCGCGACCATGAGCACAGAGATGCACTGTAACCATGGAAACAGAGATGTTACCACTAACCTGACACGTGTTACATCAGCTTCATATATACGTGCTGCAGCGAAACTTGCCTCCACAAAATCTAACCACATAGGTAATAGAATGCAGTCAAACCTGTATATACATTTCACTGAAGGAAGATCCCAAAATTGTTCGTCATAGATAATAATTAATAATATAATGACAATATATATATAATAATATTAATAATAAGTATTTGTTCTATAGAGGTAGATTCACTGCATGACTGCCACCCATGATGCGTTTTCGATGTGGATCTCATTTAACCCTTTCACTCACGGTGAGGGAGAGCAGCAGCAGCATGACCACAGGGTACGCCAGGTTCCTCCGCCAGGGGGAGGTCTTCCATCGACGCTCTGTGGGAGAGAAAGAAAGAAGGTCACGTTTACGCACGCGCCACGTACGACTGTGTTGCGACGTGACAGCTCCCTTCTGGTGACACATCTACAGGGCACACTAGGAAAGTGCTTCTTAAACTATTTCAGTGTCTAAACTATTCACCCTCGAGTCCAGGGTTCATAGTAGTAAGCCACATGTTGAAATAAGGACTTATAAGACCCTTTCTGGAGGCCAAAATAAGACTTTTTTACGCGATTTCTGATAGATCACCGACTATTAAAGTACACTAATAATATTTATATACACAATTGCACATCAGATTTAATTATTCCGTATTATATATACAACAATAATATAAAAAATAAGGACTATTAAGTACTTTTCTAAGATTTTACCAAAAATAAGTACTAATAAGGGCCCTTATTTTATTTTTGGCAAAATAAGTACTTATAAGACTTTGGAAGACCCGCTACGAACCCTGGAGTCTTTATCGACAAAATTTCGTTCACCCGCGACTACATATTCTTAATGTTTTTCGGTAAGTTTCATTCACCCTTGGCTGAGCCATTCACCAGTTTAAGAAGCACTGCACTAGGAATCTCGCGACTCTATCGAATGGAGTGAATTCTCGTCCGGTTCACGACTCTATGAACAGTATTGAGACAACGGGCGTGCACGTGAGACAAGCATGGAATTACCGAGCGAGACAACAGAGGCCAATGATAGGTAACGAGTCGAGACATTGAGACTCACACGAGACATGCCTCACTCACCCAGCATCTCGCACTTCAGCGTCTGCTGCTGCAGACGCTCGGCGATCTCGTCGTCGGCCCGTAGACCGGCGCCGTTTTTCCGTCGGTCCAGCGCATGCGTTGGCTGCGCCGCATCGTTGGCAGTCTTACGCCGCAGGTCGGCCTCCTCGAGCCGCGCTGCGCTCAGCTCCTCATCCAGCTGCATCTTGAACTGTGCGTCGAAAAACAATAGAACAGCCCTTTATCAAAATATCCGTCGACAAACGACGAAAAACGAGAGAATGGCCCTTCATCAAAATATCCGGCGACGAAAGGTGAAAAACAAGAGAGCAGCCCTTCGTCAAAATATCCGTCGACGAACGACAAAGAAACAAGAGAACGGCCCTTCGTCAAAACATCCGTCGATGAACAACGAAAAAACAAGAGAACAGCCCTTCGTCAAAATATCCGTCGACAAACAGAAAAATAAAATAGCAGCCTTTCGTCAAAATATCCGTCGACGAGCGACGAAAAGCAAGAGAGCAGCCCTTTGTCCAAATATCCATTCGACTTCAACTTGCCCCGGTATGTGAGTACGAGCGATCAAGGTTCGAGTTCCCCCCCTCGGAGAAATGTAGATACTGCTATATCTATATTCAATGGCGAATAGCCCCAGTGGTCACCTGCCCAGAACACAACCCGCATGTGGATTTCGCCATCCCCTTTCCAGGAAAAATGGATTAGCTAAGCCACTGACGTTTCGATTGCTAGGAGTTCGACATTTGTTTGACAGAAGCACGGTTTGCATTTCACATGCTAACAAGGCGATCGGTTTTGGCACGCTGCTAATGTGAGAGTTCTGCATGTGTGCGGTGGCAAAAGCCGGGACCTACGTCAACCACACACTCGATGCATTTCCCTCTTCTCCCGCAGCAGGGAAAGGTGAAACCGTAGCGCACACGCGATGCAATGACGTTTCCTTCCTTCTCTAATCGCACTTCTGCTATGATAAGACTTGCACCGTATATTGTTAGTACTAGTTATTGTTTTGTTCATGTTCCTTCACTTCTCTGAACGCACTTCTGCTATGATAAGACTTTAACCGTATATTGTTTGTAGTTAGTGTTTTGTTCATTTCCCTTCACTTCTCTAGTCGCACTTCTGCTATAGACTTGCGCCATATATTGTTTGGAGCTATTAAAGTGACAAGTTCCGCGACATTGCGCCTTACCTTTGGTTTCACAACCAGTTCGCCAACAACTGTGAAGAGTCTAGCAAAGCCCCATGGCGTCGAAACTGAAACACATCACAGAACAAATGAACATCTAATACTCTGGCGGTAAAACCGGAAATGTAACCGTAAGCCTAACATTAAATCCTAACCCTAACACCAAGCCATAATCTTAACACTAAAGTCAACAAAACTGAACAGTAATCCTTAATCTTATAAGTTATCACCCTACAAAAATACCCTAACAATAAATTGTAACCCCAGCCCCAAGTATTAACCCTAAAATCAAGTTTGAATCATAGAACTAAATCATAAGCGTAACACTAAGTCTTAACACAAACACTAAATCCTAAACCTAGTATTAGTTATAAACTTTATTAACCACCTAACACCAAGTAATAACGCTACCACTTAGTCTCAGCTTGAACACTAAATCCCAAACGCCTAGACATAGCTAAAATCTAAGTCAGTTAAACACCTGTGCTATGCACGTGAACTTACAGGTTGCTAAATTACACAAGGCACACAAGTTATCAAGTTATCGTGTAGTCATCATTGCTCTAGTGAAGTACAGCACACACAGAGAAAGCCTTACTAAGCAGAAGCAGCACTCCAAGGAATGATATGCAAGAGTATAACCACGGCAGGTAGTAGTTCCTTATATCTGAAAGAATCACAGACATGTCAGCCCAGAATGCGGGCAACTTCCATCACGGAATTAAGTCTCAAATGCTTTTAAAATACATCGATTTAAATAGTTCTATTCTCGCTACATTCAGAGGGAAACGAAAAAATAAAAAACCAACAAAGTAGAAATAAACATACAATTATACTACTGCGCACGGAGAATAGGAATTTTCGGTTCGCCTAGCCAGCTGCCCATCCCCTTAAAACGTCCCACTCACGCTAAACCAGAATGAGATACCGTGAAGTGATGACCTCGCACGTCAGTACATCTCGCTGTAGAATAGCTGCACTTACTCAGTAGTGACCGCTGCGTCCACCGATCGTGGTCGAATATTGCTGAAGCGACGAAAGCCAGGCCCAACACGACAACGGCTAGCAATGAGAGCACGATGAACGTCTCATAGATCCTACCAAGAATCCCCTGCAAAACATGAACAGAAGAACAGCATTTGAGAACGTGTGTGTGTGTGTGTGTGTGTGTGTGTGTGTGTGTGTGTGTGTGTGAAAGTCATTATGAGATGCTGTGGTAATGAAGTCATTATGAGAGATATGATATGTAAATGAAACCCAGTCATGGTACCGTGTGATAAGCAATGCAGCTCATATATAGGCTTCTTTTTTTAATAAGCTACTGTGGTATAAAATATTATTATCAATAATAGGTTTTTAATTAATTGATTTGATCACACTAACATGTGTGTGTCTATTTGTATATACCATGTATATCTTAAGTATACATCTTGCACGTATAACTGTGGCAGCAGTGTGAGGGTGACTGAGAGTGCTTGGCCCTCGTACTCAGAACAAACGAACCGCAAACGCGGCGAAAATCAACCAGTGAAACGAACCAGTAGTCGACATCTGACGTAACTGAACTGACATTGGTTGATTTTTGGTCGTTGAATTTTTTGGTCGAAGAGAAAACAAATGCATTTTGAGTGCGACGGCGACCGATCGCGAGCGCTCACTTGTTTTTTTGGGATGAATTTGCGAGCACGATTCATTCGTGTCTAGCGATTTCTCACTCTTCGTCGCACCCGTGTATGTGTGAGAGTGGTAGTGGTATCGTTATGGTGATAGAGTCGAGGCAAGAGCAACGCTGTGGCAGCGAGCACGCGCGGTACCATCGTTACTGACTCGCCGCACAGCTAGATGGCGCTACTGGTCACGCCGTCATTGGCACTGATATATATATATTATATTATATATATATATATATATCAGTGCATTATTGTCCTCGGGTGGCAGCCCCCGCGAGACGGGAGCGCTAGCTAGGATAACGTAGTCGTTTGATGAACTATTTTTTATACTTTTGATACGATGATGTCACGACTTTGTGTTTTTATATGCTGCATATATATATATATATATATATATATATATATATATATATATAATTTGCACGTGTGTCTACTCGTGAGCGAGTGAATGAGCCCAGCCCAGGTCGGATCTCCATATCGTCGGTTTCCGTCTGGCTGTGTTTGTTAGTGTAAGTGTGTGGGCGGCAGAGAGCCTTCACCGGTGCAGCGTGCCAGACATTGCCCCTCATGGCGAGCATCCCTCCCACATGGACATGCATAACGCATGGGGATATGATCGTCATTTGCCCCATGCGTAATGGGGGGACGTTTGCGATAGAGTGGATGTCTGGCACGCTGCAGGCTTGGTAACGCACTAGACTGCCGAGTCAAGTCCACACTACGTCATCGTCCCGCGGTTTGTGAGACGGGTGATCGAGGGAGTGTGTTTGCAGGCATGAGCAGCGTCTAGTGACGGTTCAGATGCACTCTGCCTCCTCGTCCTCATCCGCTGATGGAATTGGTGAATGACAATAAACACACATGCTCGAAAAAACGAACGAAATGTTTGCTCTATGATTTCTGCGCAATCTGTTTGTTTTTGTAGTTTCCTGCTCTGCGACCTTTGATGCCAGATCAAAGGACAATGCCTCAGAGTCGAGTGACAGATAAGAAAAACAGCAGTCGAATTTCCACATTTAAAATAGGTTCTTTGCATTGATTTATTTGTTTCAATAACAGGCAATCTCATAGTGAACGTACGGATACTCCCTCCAGGGGTTAATAATAACAAATTCTTCGTTAGTATTAACCCCTGCTACCACGTAACAACCGGTAAACAATAGTTTACACGTAAAACATAGGCCATGCTTACAGCTCCTCATGCGTCCTCACAACAGTTGCCGTTGGCAACCCCGCCAGGCAAATCATAGCGTACCGCTGTGACTATATTACAAAATGGCGGACGCAGAATTACCTAGAATTTAATACTTCTTAAAAAAATACTTTTCGCAGACGAAACGTTAGCGTCGGACACTCAATACTGACTGCTGGTGATAAGTTAATAAGCAGCTAGCCCCCCCCCCTATTTCAAGATAGCAAGTTGCATTTTTATGTTGCGCTGGCTCCTCTAGCAAGGCATGCTGAACATTTCGCAGCAAAGGTTTCAAACACAGACTTACTGCGAGACAGTTACACGAAGATACCCATACATAGATACCCCAGTGATGTGTCGAAATCTGTGTCATATTCAGTGCCCATCTGCAGCTCAGCATGGTTGAGGGCAAAACAGAGTAGGCTTTGCATATTTAGCTTACAAAATCCCCCATTTTATTAGGAAATTTTATGTTTAACGAAACGATTTTAATCACCAATGCACAAAGTAAATACACCTTATTGCACTCTAATGTTATACACATACATAATATATATCAAGAGCTAATAATACCTAATAATAAGTATTATTAGCTCTTGTATATATATATATTATATATATATATATACATATATACTGTAGAATATATACCATATAACCGCATATATATATATATATATATATATCATATATATGTAGAATATATACCATATACCGCCATATATATATATATAATATATTCTACCCTCTCTTACAACCTGTATTGAATTGTTTAGGCTCTATCAAATGTAGGCCAGCATTCACTACAGGTTAAAACGTTAATGGTTAAACTTGAACCTTGCGCCTACCTAGTTACAGCTTTCTTAGCTGGCTTGACAGTTGACACGTACTGTATACACCATATTTTTCACGTAGGTACAGATATTTTCGCGAATTCAGACTTGACGGACAATTTCGCGAGAGGTTAATTTCGCGGTCGATGAATTCCCGAATCAGTGAACAACAGCATATTGGTATTTTCGCGTGTTGTTATTTTCGCGTTCGCGAAATTCGCGAAAATTAAACGACCGCAAAATATACAGCGTATGCAGTATGTCATCGGACAAACAATATACGTTAGTGGATTGAAATAAGCCATGTCAATAACTGTCAGTTCAGAATACTTGGTCCGTGCTGACGTGGCCATTCCGAGTGGTTGCATACTCTGCGCCGTACATACATCGTGGAACGTGTCACGCGCCCACACAATCGTGAAACTGCACGAGGAATGACGAACGATATCCTACCGTGATGCCTAGCCCTTCCTCTGCCAGCGACGATGGAATCCCATCCTATCGTAGACTCCTGGCCCGCAGAATTCTCCTCGTGCAAACCCCCTCGCCAAGTATTGCGGTGCTTATTAGCCTTGTAGCCACAGTGGTGACCCCTGTATTACGCAACAGATGCACCTGCATGCTGTAGCTGTTAAAATGGCGGCTGTCACAATTCGATGCGATTGGGTCCTCAACGTATGTCACTGCGAGCAGTGTGCCGGGTCACCATTCACACCAACACCAAGTAGAAAACAATGGCGACGATGCGATGACATGCGCCCTCTAGCGAGCACAATTGCAATCACGCTCTGCCCACGACAATGAACGGTCCATCGTAATGCCGAGTCCACATGAATGCCTTCTCAACTTCGTGCGAGCGCACCGTTACATGTGGTACCGCCACGTGTGACACAACTATGTCAGGGTGTGGCCCTATGGTGATGGTCATGGAGCGTTGCACACCGAGTCGCAGCGACCATTAAGGACGCTTCTAGTCGAGCTTAAGGTCGGTGGTGGCGGCCATGCTGCGCATGCTCTTGGCCCCGAGGTCGTGGAGACGGTTGAAAGGCAAGCGCACCCACTGTTCATGCTTCAACCTACGGACAAGATCACACGTTATCTACAACTAGAACACACGGATGATCACTGCCACCCAGCATCATTGTGAGGATACAGAGACAACTCTAGCTCTCATCTTCGCTACATCTACTTAAGGTCCCCCCTCCCCCCAGGAATGTTGCTATCTCATCTCCCCTCTATGTTACTACCATACCCACACTCCACCAAAAAGAACCCCCCAAGAATTGTTACTACCTCACCCACCCTCCATCCTCACACACTCCCCCCTTTCCTAACACCACAGAGAACTAACACAGATTCATGAAAAAGCTTAAAATAAAAATTCACATTGTACACAGGCCCAGCATGAAAGAGAAAAACAGATGCGGCGGAGTATTGCATTTGAATCGCACCACCGCCACCACGTCTATGCTAGTTTATGGATTTGTTATGATAGGTAGCGGACCTAGTGTTTGCTGAGCGGTCTGCGGCCTGTGGCAATTAACGGCTGTGGCTATCTCCCACAACCTAGCTATCACACTGTGCGTGGCAGCGCATAAACGCCCTCGTTCTCACTCAAAAACCCTCCCTCGCTCCTGCTGCGCATGCATACGGGCCGCTCGGGGCACGTAAAACCCCAGCTTCTTTCATACACCTCCCTCCTCCCCTCCGCGTGCATCGTGGCCCTCGGGGCACGTTGTAAACGCCCTGTTCTATCTCAAACACCATCTTCGCCTCCCTCGCCATGCATGCATGGCCTACAGGGCACGAAAACCGCCTGTTCTTACTGCAAACACCTCGGCCTCCCCCAACCGATGCATGCGTGGCCCATCGGCGGCACATAAAATCCTGTTCTTACTGCAAAACACATCCGCTCACTCACCATGGCAATGCGTGGCCCACGCGGCACGTAAACCCCTGTTCTCATTCAAACACCACGCTACCTCCTCTCTCCATATCATGCATGGCCTACAGGGCACGTAAACCCCTGTTCTTACTCAAACACCTCCCTCCCATCCATGCATGCGTGGCCCTCGAGGCACGTTGTAAACCCCTGTTCTTATACTCAAACACCATCTTCCCTCCCTCTCCATGCATGCATGGCCTACAGGGCACGTAAACCCCTGTTCTCACTCAAACCCCACCCTCCCCCACCTCCGTGCATGCATGGCCCTCGGGGCTTAGTGTACAGGCTATGGTCTGCCTGCAGGCACCCGCAGATCCCTCCCCCCGGTACTAAGTAGGTAAACACGTCGCCAGCGAGCACCGGAGAAAACCAGCGGAGATAGCAGACGATGGGACGATGACGGAACCACCTTCCCAGCACGGCGCTCGTCGTGTTTGCTTCCAGCACCGGCCGCTCGTCGTGTTTGCCTTTTCGAAATCTGCGCCACTGATACAAAGCGTTTGTTGCCTCGCTAGCTGTCAAGACACTATAACGCACGCACACACACACACGATGATACACGCACGCACGCACACGCAGATACACACACACGCAGCAGCGCACGCACGCACGCCGCACGCACGCGCGCACGCACGCACGCACGCACGCACGCACACACACACACACCACACGCACGCCAGCACGCACGCACGCACGCACGCCCACACACACACACACACACACACACACACACAACACACACACACACACACACAGATTCCACTGCACACCAGACAGGTAAGTCCGACCGGGGCTGTGAGGTTAACGTCAATGCTCGTCAGGGAATAGTCTTTTGAAAAATAAGTATACATGGGCGCGTTTGTGCACACCGTAAGCAAGCCACAGGTTACCTTCTCGCTTCTTACTACTGGTGTGACCTTCGCTAGACGTGAAACAGTCGTAGAGGCCTGGTCGGGCTACGCGTAGCAAATACTCTATATAAGTCACTGCATTACTAATGGCACTAGCTATTTGACATGGCAACAACTAACTGATACTCAGTGTTAACAGTCAGCAGGGGATGTATAGACGGCATATTGCTCTCTATCGATTAACAGCACCTAGATCAATCAATTCTGCCCCAGAAATTGTCCACAATCTGATGCTAATCGGATTATATTCATGGGTCTAAGAAGCACCATGCCAGTAACCACGCTTATTATATTCACCAGATAATAACAGGTGGGAGTTTCTGTCGCCAACACCAGTGTGACATCCAGGGGCGTGTACAGGGAGGGGGGGTCCAGGGGGTTCCGGACCCCCCCCCCCCTGCTCGCGCAGAAAAGCGCATCTAAGGGGTTCTAATTTCAAAAACTCCCTTCGCGTGCTCGCAAATTTAGGTTAGCGGTTAGACCCCCACCCTGCCGGTACAAATCCTGTACACGCCCCTGACATCGCGAAGATTTGCTTACTTACTTCTCCGCTGGCTGTCCCCGCGATGGCCATAACGCGGTAATCGTGAAGATTTGCGGTTTTAATCGAATTACCGACATATCTTAAGAGTGGGGCATGAGAAGACGTTTCGCAATATTAGTTTGCAAAACGCGATTCTTGCAAATGCAACATTAAAAACCTGATTCTCCGGAAGGTTGTAGTGGAGACAATTTAATAGCTGGTTGATAACGTAAACTGACAGCATATATCATTGTGATCAGGAGTGTCATACTATAGACACTATATAATGACACCCCTGATATCAGCCTCTATGATTGCTATAATGGAGGTAAAGTAATCGCTCTCGTGTGTGTGTTCGTGTGTGTGTTCGTGTGTGTGTTCGTGTGTGTTCGTGTGTGTGTGTAGCGTTGGCGCGATTCGTCAGCACCAGCTCGCCTTAGGGCATCCAGTCAGCAGGCAGTCTCGCCTTAGTGGGCGTCG